AAACTGAATTTGAATAAGTTAAATTTGAATTTGAATTGCTCAGATTGAATCTGAATTGTAACTTGAATAAATGCTTTTGAAAACTGAATTTGAATTAGTCTAATTTGAAATTGAATTTATGGTTTGAAAATGATCATCACTAAATTGAAATTGAATTTTATATTTTGAAAATTTTGAAAATTAGACTAACTATTCACTTTAGCTAAAGTTATTAAGTTAGCTGAAGAGTTGGGATGCTGTGTAAGACATAAATAAAGCTAAAATACAAAGGTTTGGACACTGTTTTGCATGTTTCCCTACTGTAGGGGTCTCTGCAAGCATACAGAGGGGGTACTCTGAGAGGGTACAAGATGACAACTTTTGAATTCTACTAGAAACAGTCGATCATATTTGTTTGTCAAAGCTGAATTCAGGGCAAACTACGCTAAATTAGCGTTTTTAGCTAGCAGCTACAATAAGCATAAAAGTTACCTTACGGCTATCATTTGTTAACATGACGCTTGTTCTTATACATGTAATACATTTATTACCAACCTGAGAGTTTATCCGCTGGTCATTCGACATGACGAATGACTTCTGAAGTCTTAATTCAGCTCAAGAGGCTGTAGATTCCCGTCAGTAACACTTTCGGTCCACTAGTAAAACATAGTTCTATTAATCTGCGCTTGAACCGGAACCGGATGTAAGTTCCAAAAAACTGAATTGTAGAACTGAAACTGAATGGTGAGAAGTGAAACTGAAATTATTCGAGAGCTGAATTTTTAAATGATAAAATGCAGTTTCAAAGCAAATCAATTCATTTTCAAAATATAAAATTCAATTTCAATTTAGTGATGATCATTTTCAAACCATAAATTCAATTTCAAATTAGACTAATTCAAATTCAGTTTTCAAAAGCATTTATTCAAGTTCCAATTCAGATTCAATCTGAGGAATTTAAATTTAAATTTAACTTATTCAAATTCACTTTCTGATGGCACAGATTTCTGCCCATAGAAAGCACGGGAATTTGAATGAAAACAACTGAATTAAAATGAAAAGAAAATAATTAGAATGAGAAGAACAGAATTTGAATGAAAACAACGGAATTAAAATGAAAAGAAGAGAATTAGAATGAGAATCGAATTTGAATTAAAAACACGGAATGTGAATGAAAAGAACAGATTTTGAATGAAAACAAAAGGTTTTGAATGAAAACGAACAGAATTTGAATGAAAAGAACGCAATTTGAATGAAAACAAAAGCATTAGAATGAAAGCACGGGAATTTGAATGAAAACAACGGAATTGAAATGAAAACAACGGAATTGAAATGAAAACAACAGAATTGAAATGAAAACAACAGAATTGAAATGAAAACAACAGAATTGAAATGAAAACAACAGAATTGAAATGAAAACAACGGAATTGAAATGAAAACAACGGAATCAGAATGAAAAGAAGAGAATTTGAATGAAAACAACAGAATTTGAATAAAAAGAGTAGAATTAGAATGACAAGAATAGCATTTGAATAAAAACAACAGAATTTGAATGAAAACAACGTAATTTGAATGAAAAGAATGTAATTTTAATGAAAACAAAAAAATAGAATGAAAGCACCAGAATTTGAATGAAAACAACGGAATTAGAATCAAAAGAACAGAATTTGAGAACAAACAATAGAATTTGAATGAAAACAAAAGCATTAGAATGAAAGCACAGGAATTTCAATGAAAACAACGGAATTAAAATGAAAAGAAAAGAATTAGAATGAGAATAACAGCATTTGAATGAGAACAACAGCATTTGAATGAGAACAACGGAATTAGAATGAGAACAACGGAATGTGAATGAAAACAAAAAAAATAGAATGAACGCAACGGAATTTGAATGAAAACAACGGAATGTGAATGAAAAGAACAGTATTTGAATGAAAGCAACGGAATTTGAATGAAAAGAACATTCTTTTTCTCTTAACAGGTGATCCAGGAGATTCCCCCTCCCCCCCTTCTCACTGTCCCTCTCCCCTTCTGTTTTTCTTTTCCTTCCTCTTTCTTTCTCCCTTTCCTATCCCTCACTCATGTCTGTCCCGTCTGTAACAACTGAAAATAAAATAAATAATAAAAACAAAGGTCGATCAAATGGACCAATACGCCAATGCCACGATGATCCATTTGGCAAAATAAATCCATTGGGTATCCTTGTTGGTCTTCAGACAACAATTCTGACGGCTAAAGAACCAAATGGGACAGGCAAAAAAAAAAAATGAAAAGAACAGAATTTGAGAACAAAGAACAGAATTTGAGAACAAAGAACAGAATTTGAATGAAAAGAACAGAATTTGAATGAAAAGAACAGAATTTAATGTGTCTCCTTACCAAGAGCAGTAAGAAGTAAGTTAAATGTAAGCTCAACTCACCACACCCACCAGGATGCCTGCAGCGAAAGACACCTGGTTCAGTGTAGCAAATGCTCCTCTGAGGTTGGTGGGGGAAACTTCCTGGATATAGAGGGGGTTAAGGCTCATCACCAGGCCACAGAACAGACCAAAAACCAGTCGCCCTAGGATGAGGACCTCAAATGACTCGCTGGCTTTGGAGGCAAACATCAAACATGCTCCGACCACAGACAAACCGTTAACTATCAGGATGGAGTTACGCCTGGAGGGGAACAAGCAAATTTATAAGGAGGGGCGGGGGGAAGCAAGAACTGTTGGAAACTTTACAAAAGTTAGCTTGGTTTTCTTACCTGCCGTAAGAATCTGCCAAATATTTGACTCCCAGCGAGCCCAGTAAGGCTCCAAAATCTTTAATGCTGACAGAGAGTGACCACAAGAAAGTAAGACTGTGATCTGAGATTGATTGGTTGTGTCTGGCTCTCCAGGTATTGTTGAAAAACTCTTCGATAATCTAAACAACAATGCCAAAGTAAATCAGTTTGCACTGGTAACTCAATTAGATGCAATGACATGTTTTTTTCTCTCTCTCTCACACTCACACACACACACACACACACACACACACACACACACACACACACACACACAAAAAGGGTTTACAAAGATGTTTTTATTCCTCTTTTTCCATAGATGACTAATGCAGTGTTCAAAATCATTCACGTGTTGCTTCTTTTGTAACAGAAACACTTCCTCCACAAGAACTATTTCAGGAATTATTGTCTTGGGATTTTTGAGTGGGTAGAACAACTGCTTCATTTTGTAAAGTTAGAACAGTATACCTGTGAAAATGGAAAACCATTCCAAAAAAGGGAGCCAAATCCAAAGCCGAGACGGAGAGTTACCTTATTTAGTGCTTTATTGAGGCTCTGTAATATGTTTGACAGGCAGCATGCTTTCCAGCATTCCCCTCTGCATAACTGTTATATCTGGACAATGTAGGCCTTTTATGGAATATCAGCCAGACGAGAATGTCTACTTTTTGATGTCTGGAGTTATGTTTTGTTGCAGTTTTATACTTCCAAAAGTAATTCTATTGATCAATGCAGATTGTTTTGTATAGATTTTAATTTACACATCACACTTATAATACAATTTGAAACATAAATCTGTGTGCTGTCCCTCAGATGCTGCTAGCTCTGTTCACCTTGGCTGGAGCGTTGATGTTGCCAGTGTGGTAACCAATCTGCAGGGAGCCGATCACCGCTCCCAGGATGGACGTCACAAGCGTGGCTGTCAGATGGCTCTGCCGCAGAAACAGAATTGAGGTTAGCACCATTTCTTGTTTTATATCTTTTAATTCATAACTAATAAGAGAACGCTACCTCTTAATTAGGTCATTTTAACCCTTTACATTCTTGTTTTTTCTTTCTTATTTTGGATTGACTACAATCATCATAAAAATCCAAAGTAGTTATGGTTATGATTAAGCAGATAGAAGACAAATACTCAATCCATTACTGATTTCTAACCTTATGACCTCAGTTCATTGATTAACATTCCTGATCCCTCCCATGGTTCCAGCAACCAGGCCAATCATATGAGTACTTGTAAAAGTCCAGCTTGGCAAGAACAACAAGGGTTTGGCGCACTGGCAACATGTCCAGAGTTTTAGTCGAGTAAGTGATACTGCCTCGCTATGTTCATTCTGCCTCATTCACTCATTCACAGAAAAGCATTGATTCAAACAAACCTCCTGAGATGCCATTTGATTGTCCGAGATGGTGTATCACTCCCTCGGGATGTATGTGCATTTATTTTTCTCCTGGTTTTGTTATCTGTAAAAACCAGATAGTGGGGGAAAAAAGGTCTAGCAGTTGTAGTTTAGGAAGCATTAGTGGTAGTATAGGAGTTTGGCACAAAATGATATGAAAAAGACTCAGCTAACAACCAGAGACACTGAGATTTTTTTCTGCAGTGCAAATTTCATATACATATATATATATATATATATCAAATGCAGTGTATATGACTAAATGTTTTTGAACCACAGTGCGGTTACCCTACAGCATCACAAAACATATTTCATCAAAAAAAAATCAAGCAACTATATGAAACTATATACTTACTGCATACAAATATTTTTGCTTGTCTTTTTGCATGCTTACCTGTGTTACTGCGTCAACCAGACTGCTTGATTTGTCCCGAAACAAAGTTGGAAGACCATATCATCTATATAAGATTGTCCTCACCACTGTTCCTGAGTGTCCTACGTTGATCGCTTCTTCATCCCTGAGTTCTAGATATGACTGTGTATCTAAACCAACTACCAGCTGAAACTTCACACACACACACACACATTGTACCAGTGACCACAGTGACGAAGTCACACCTAGCTGGTGAATTTGAGGTATATCTGATAAAATGGCAGCAGTGGGCCTCCTCTGGTTCTCGTGAATCAGCTGATCAACATCCTGAGTTCCCACTGACTCTGGGTCTGCAGCAGTCAAACCTCAAATTGCTTTGAAAACCGCAAAACTGCTCCCAGTTAAGGTTTTAAGAGGAACCGTTTGGTGCTTTGAGTAGGCCACGGTTTATAATCGCATTTATCAAAGATGGAAAAAGTCAGGTACTTCTGTTATAGTGTGGCATGCTAAAGTTTATCAAAGCCTAAATGTCTGTGTTATCACGAGGTCGTACTGCATTCTTTGCAGGGTTTCCCATGCTTTGGCTGATATGTTCTTCGGGCACCTGGTAGCATTTTCTGTCTTGGAATCCCTCAAGTGACACGCATCTGTGCATGGTAGTTTGTTTTGTTTTTTCAGGCTGGAGTCTTTTGGAAGTATAAATCTGTATTCTTGTATGGTTTGCCCTTTTAAAACAAATTGCTTTAGAGAATTTAATTGAAACAACAAAGATTAACTACAATGGGAGGTTAACTAATTGGAAATTTAGGGTAAAGAACTGCTGCTGCAGAGGTGGCATGTGGATGGAAACGACAACACCCATCACACAATGCTGTCACAATTTAGGGCCTCAGGGCTTTTATTGATAATAGTGTGATGAAGTATAAGCATGTATGTGTACTTTCACTCCTCTTCCTCCTGCTTCCATCAGAAGAATACTAGCACGGAAATGCAAGTTTAGTCTCCAAATGTCAGTATGTTTCCTGATGTGATAAACTGTTCCTGCGTTTTTGTGTGTATTTACAAAGGAACTGCTCTAAAATGGTTCCTATTCATCTACTGCGCACATTACAGCGTTACCCAAAACTTTAATGATGGCAGTCAAATACAGAAACTATGCAAAGGGGGAACACATAAAACAATAATAAGTTTCTATCTGATTTTGGCATAATTGTGTCTCTCTGATTTCTAATAGTCATCCAAATAAACCTTATGATTGAGTGATTGTTATAGGTGATATGAACTCATCTCCAGTGTTCACCTTTGAAGATATACTATTCCGGAAAGCTTAATTTCATTATTCCATTGCTTTATTTTCAGTCAGTGAATTGCTCGATTCTTTTTGCTACATCCTGTTTCTTTACATGGCTCGTTAATGTTTAATCCAATCCAGTTTTATTGAATAACTATTGCACAATCGAGTATGTGCTTATATCTGTGCTCTGCGCTAGAATTCACTAAAGACAGATGTTTGAATATGCTATATGTTTGCTCAAAATGTGGGTTAAGTGTGTCTTTATGATGAAATCATGTAAGCTAAGCACACACCTGTCTCGTAAGAAAATCCACAAGCCCCCTAACTGTATTTCATTGCCGAGACTCATAAGCCAAATGAATATAAATGCTGTAAACATTTCCCACACTCAGTGCAAACCACATCATTTGAAAACAATTTTTATCATTAATTTTAAGTTGAATACGTTCGCATAAATATTAAATGGCCCCTGGAGCGTGGAGGTGATGAAAAGCAGATCATATCAGCTACACTGAGTCATATGTGAAATGCTTTATATTACAGACGGAGCACAATTAAACGTTATACACAAAAACAGATCTAGCTTCATATTTAAAAACTAGTTCTTGTAAGCCCTAAACTGCTGACTGACATCATAGCTTTGATGTTAACGTTTTTGATGTTAAATAACATGAGATTGCTCATTTCATACAACAAAATGACATATGTGCTTTCTTCAGCATGAATAAGAAATATAATCCTTCCAAACTGAAACTTACAATAATTGGAACAGTTCCTTAAGGGTGCTCTATTTTTAAAGAAAGCCAATCACAATATCACAAGACTATATTTATCAGTGATACTTATATTTAGAAGTTTCTGAGCACAAACAAGAAAGAGAAGTGTTTTGGGGCATTTTGGAGAGGGGTCAAATGCATCATCCACCTGCAAGCTCTGTTCTGTTCTGTGCAGCTGAGTTCTTAATCAGCGTGTGGATACGCCCGTCTGGAATATGACCTTTGACCCCTGAGCCCTGGCCTCCTGACAGGCAACCCCTTGACCTTGCAGTCAAGCAGCTGGGCAGGTTCTGCACAGGCACACAAGGGCACAAATGGTGAGCGGTGTGCGCCGTCATCCCCCCACCGTTAATGTTTTGCTATCACCGAAGCTAATGGCTCGCTCTCTAAATTACCTGTAATGGTGGTTTTGGTCTGTTTCTAAGCGTTTCAGTGCGCACAAAGGAGGATAAAAATGCGCAAATTTACTCATCACTACTAAAACATGTGGGAAATATTAGATGGTGGCTAATTGTATTGGACAACTACTTCTTGGACTGATTTCTTCCACACATGATGCTTGTAAATAGACAGCGAGGAAAAAGGTTGAGTCATTAGATGATTACTGAAATTGTTTTAGAATGCATTCCTATCAACTGAATTATCAGCTTTGCTGTAAAACCATCACTTGAAAAATGTCGGTAATTCAAGTTGATGTCTTTAACTCCAAGTCCAGAATCAAAAGATTCTATCTATGCACTTTTTGAACTGCTTATCCTGAATTAGATAAGTGATTAAAAAAATATAATAATAAGATTGTCACTCAATTAGTGTTTAAAGAATTTAAAAAAATACTCACTCCTTTAAGAAAGTTAGATAACACAAAGTTGTAAAACTCCTAAACATTAGTCTGCTCCTATTCTGCCCACGTCACTTTCAAAAATCCAAATTCCAGCTTTCACCTATGAAACCCCTCCGGCAACCTGCCTACCCTTCACCCCACTTTCAACAAAGGAGAAAGAACACACACACTAACACACACACGCACATACATCCCTAAGCAGCTGCGTCATTATAAAACTCTTTTGAACTTCACACTGGAAGTCAAATGCCACATGTGTCAGTACAAGACAGATGTACTGCAGCTGCCTCTTGGCTCCAATTTCATCTGTGATACCAGCCCTCTCCACCGCCTGTCTCCCCCTTACCCATTTCCAAACCACTACCACCCCTTCCTTCACCAGCAACCTCACCACAAGCCCTCTTCCTCCCATCATGCACTGATAAAATCACCAGCACCTTTGAAGTATCATCACTAAATCAGGGCATCTCACAGCGCACACAAATAATTGTGCATAATAGGTTTCCACATTCAAACATGGGGACAATTAATTATAGTCCTTTTTTAACATGGACAGGAAATTCCGCTACAAATTTCCCGTGGGATCTTTTATTTATTTCAACCATTAAAAACACAAAAACTACACAAGTCTGCAGAGAAATTCAGTAAAAACATTATCTTTATTAAAATATTTCAGTTCATGAAATTCAGTTGGCTTGCTTGATGCCGTATCATAAGTAAAAACTTGTTGTGCAGACACTGGATTCAATTTGTCAAACTCCAACCTGCAGTGAACAATCTTCACCATTTGGGGTCAATATTGAACTCCTTCGCCCTCCTTTCAGAAAATTTGTCTTCTGTTAACAGCTCTAAATGCTTTCAACTGCCCAGAAAAGTATAGTTTAAGGAGATGTAATATGGAGAGTTTCCATATTTCTTTAGAATCATTATCAAGCTTTTTAAAATACCACTGTTTATATTGTAGTAATATTAAAGTGAGTCTAATTAGTTGGATACTTAGAGTGTCACACAGTACCTCTACAGTTTCCTCAACATGATTCTGTAAGAGATATAACGTGGTTCAAGTTTTCAAGTGTCTTGTTGCTGAATTCAGTCCTCTCTGTCCATACAACAGTGAGATGTTAAATTCTTCCAAATGTTGGGCAACTAGATAGCTGCTTTAAATTTATGACACACTTAAGGTAGGAAACAGCATGAAGTATCCCAAAGAGTGATACAACCCAGGTGGAAGCTACTACTTTGTTGTAGCTCATAAACTTTATGAACATTTTCTGAGCTTTGCACTTGACTGATTCATTTTGAGATTAAAAGAAAAAAGCCTTTAGCTTCTTTTGTTTTGCTTGTGTCTACTTTGACACAAGTTTGAAAATGTCAATGATTCTGAGCAGCACCCAAATCCACATGAATCATTTTTATTCAAAAATAACACATTTCAGTGTTTTCTTTTCCATGGATCTAATTTCCTTTGCTATGAATAAGAAACATTATCAAAACACATTTGAATGGTGAAGTGCAAAAACAAGTGAAACAAAAAAAAGCTGTCTTTTCTCTACCAAACTGACATGCTACAAGACTCCTTCACTACATTTTTCCCATCATGATTTGTAGTGATTACTAGCCTTTTGGGCTGTTTTAGATCTTGCATGTGATTTGCAGCTCTGCAGCGTCTGGAAGCACTTCAGCAGACACACATAAGCTCACTGTGTTCAAACCTGGATTGAAACAGGCACTCAGGAGAGACTGCACAGCCCTCAAAGAAAGGCTGGTTTCTTTTCTGGTTTCTTGGCATAACTATCGAATTCAAATTAGATGCAACTGGACTTGTGATTGTAGTATATTAAGCACCAGATACTGCATAAGTATGGTCCTGACTGTGCGTAGTGATGACGACGGGAATCTTAAAACACAAACTGAAATAGTAAACTAACCTCACCATAGTTAAAATAAACAGTCCTCAGAGCTGACAACGTGCAGTCTCGCCTAAGCATTTCCATGTTGTGAATTAGCTACTGTAACAGCCTAATGTTTGACATGATATAAACAGAGAGAAAAGTATATCTTTTTTTACAAGAAGCCAGAATGACAGTGAAGTAAGTGAACAATCATACACCCCCACAGTGACATTTAGTAAAACAAAGCTTATTGTACATATTTACAAAAGGAGCTTTTTTTTGTCTCATAATTGTGAGCCATTGCAGGGACTATTGGGGAATACAACTCATACAAAGTATTTAAACCACAACAGCAAAGACACGATTCTCCGATTGTTCCCAAATGTGAGGATCACATTTTTATTTTTTACACTGCAAAACTAAAAGGATTTTTTTTCCCCCCTTCACTGCTCATAAAATGTTAGCATTTATCAGACACCCGGGGCAGTATTTTTCAAAAGACTTACTTCAGTGTCTTACATAAAGTGGAAAAACTCCACTATGAGTAGTTTTAAGTGTTTGAGACAACAAGACTGACATCAGCTGTTTGAGGTCAGACAGTAATTGTGTTTACATACACAATACATAGTCTGACATTACTGGGAAGGCTCCAGTATTTACTGTATGAACTGCCACGCCATATCTTGCGAGGTAAACGTGAATATGATCGATGAAATGGGCTGAGATTAACAAGATATTGAGCCATGTGAACTTCTTACTCTATTTACTGGTTAGATTAGTCAACTGTGGAGTCGTTTTTCTCTGATACTAATAATATTTAAAACATCTTTATTGGAATGTAATCTATTTAGAAAACTAAAATCTCCACAAGAGAGTCAAAGATTTGTTCAGTTTGGATCAGTAAACACTAGAAGGCAGAATTAAAGAAAGATCATTACATGATTAATTTTGTAAAGAACGGATACTAACATTATCAAAGTGTAGTTTAACAAAACCTGCACAATTACTTTTAACACTATATAAACTTATACACAAAAGAATGGGATGCATGTATTATAAATGAGTGGCCTCCACTGTGGTAAGGACACATTTAAATTGAAGATGCATTAGTGAATGCGTCCCATTTGTTTATGTAAGCACCAATGCAATGGATTCTGATCACATAGTGTCAGACTTGGAACTTAAACAACAATTTGCCAGCTCCTCATTAGTATAAACTTGAGATCTATGTTACTTCATACAAATCAGAGGTGCCTGGTGCAATAGCAACTCTGGAGGCTTGGGAAAATTTAACCAAATCGGTAACAAATGAAGACAGATTTTGTTTCAGAGCTCAAACTTTGTTTTTTTTCCGGGAAAATATTTTGCGGCTCTTTTTGCAAACAGTGTGTTTGTTTTGGTATGCAATCATTTGTACAATTCTACTTGGTTTCAGAAGAGCATCTATCAAATTATCTGTCATTACAAGGTCTAGTAGCTCGCCCATCTAACAAAGCTTCTCAATAACTCAGCTCTAAAAACACCTGTGTGGACATTTATGCTAAAATGCAACCCACAACTTTATACGGCTGTATTTTAGAGTTTTTTGTCTCTGTGTGGTTGCATGTGTGTGGTTGCATTCCTGAATTCTTTCATTACTTCATATTTAATACTGTTTGTTCGTATTCCAACCTTTGTGTAAACATGTTGAAATGTCTTCCACTGGGTGCAACAGTGTAAAGTTCCATGAACATCCTGTGTGAAATCTTTTACTAGCAGCTGTTTTGCATGTTTAATTTGTCATAATCTTTTACTATTTGTTCTATTATTATATTTACAAACCCATTTCCAAAAAAAATTCAGAACACTGTGTAAAATGTAAATTTAAAAAAATGATTCCACTGATTTGCAAATATCATAAACCCATATTTTATTTAAAATAGAACACTGAAAACATATCACATGTTTAAACTGAGACATCTCATGAAAATATTCTTTCAAAAGTAAGTGGTACCAAAAAGCCAGCTTGTGGAAAATTTCACAACTAATCAGGTATTCTTGGAGTTTCTCAGAAGTAAAGATAGACAGAGATCCACCAACCTGCAAAAATGTGCATCTCCAAATTGTGGAACAATATTAGAATAATGTTCCTTTTAAAAGCGTTTGAGTGTAAAGAGTTTAAATGTCATATCATCTACAGTAGATAATATGATCTTGTGATAATATCACAAGTTTCACAAAATCTGGAGAAATCTCTGTGCGCAAAGAATAAGACTGAAATCACTATTGTATGTCCGTGATAGCTGGGACCTCAACTGGCACTGCATTAAAAACAGGCATTATTTTCTTAAATGCATGTTAAAGTTCTATCATGCAAAGAAGTAGTTATATGTGAACATGATGCAGAAACACCATAATCTTCTCTGGGCTAAAGGTTATTTAAATTGGACTAAGGCAAAGTGGAAAGCTGTTCTATGGTCAGATGAGTCCAAATTTCAAATTCTGTTTGGAGAGCAAGCGCTTAACATTCTCCTAACTAAAGAGGGAAGAGAGCATCCGCCTTAATAGTGCTCAGTTCAAAAGCCTGCATCTCTGATGGTATAGGGGTGCATTAGTACCCATGGAACTGGCAGCTTGCACCTCTGGAAAGGCATCATTAGTGTTCAAAGGTAGATGATATCTTGTTCAGGGAAAATCGTGCACATTTTGGCAAAACAATGCTTAACTGCATGATGAATCTTTTATAACAGCATGGCTTCATAGTATAAGAGTCTGGGTGCTGAACTGGCCTGCCTGCAGTCCAGACCTTCCACTAACTGAAAACATTTAGTTAATGGAACAGGATTCATCTCCCAAAAGTCAGACAACTGGATTGGAACAGAGGATTCTACACAGTGGTAAATATGGCTTTGTCTCAATTAATGTGAGATACGTTGCTACCAATAAATTTCAAATGAGCTTTTTCCCAGAAAATGGTACATTTTCATTTGTAAATAAAATATGGGATTATGAGATTTGCAAATCTTTGCATGCTGTTTGTATTTACATTTTACACAGCATCCCAACTTTTTGGGATTTGTTGTTGTAAATTCTCTTTTTTTGATACTACAGAATGTGAAAATAAATTATGAATAGTGAAGAAGAGTGTTTTTGCAATGTTTTGGGGTTGTAGAAAAAGTAATTGGGTAAAAAAAAAGTGACATCCACTTAGCTACCACTGTCCGACACCGGTGCGTGCATGACACTTGACAAAAACCAGATATCCAAAATGTTAATGTATCGAGAAGGTTTTGTGCAGGATTCACGCAGCTAATTCTGTGCTGATGATCCATAGACTCAACTCACAGTTTAATTCCGATACATGCCACTCACATAATTGTTGCTTCTTCACATAGAACATTACACATTTGTTTTAGTTGTTCTAGACTGACTTGTAGAGTGCGTTTTAAATAAGCACCATTCTTTTTTGCATGTGACTCACGGCAAGATCCTCTTTTATAGGTTTCCACTGACCTGTGTGCTGCTTTTTGTAACAAAGGGCCTGTAATTTTAATTCACATGGCAATTAAATGTGTATTAGTACCTCGTGAGGACACACAGAAGGAATCAAAACATCAGACTTAACACACAGAGAATTGTGGTAATATACACATACTTGCTCTTCCAGTGGTGAGCCTGTCATCTTTGCAAATATATTCTCATTCTTACCTAGATATTTTTCAGTCACTTCAAGACAGGAAAAAAAACATAAAAACAAATAAAATGTCAAACATAGGGAGAAGAAAGTGCAAATATTTTGGTGCCACTTTGTTTTTCTTTTCCATTTTTTTTCTGTTCATTTACAAAACTCAGGAACTTCTTAATTTTTCTGCTCCATCTGTCTCTGTCCTGTCAGCAAGCGTGCAGATGCCTTCCCTCTGTGCCCTCTGCTCTCATCTCAGCTTCTTGATCGTTCTCTTCTCACACCAGACGTCCTACTGGAAACATGTGCAGGAAGAAGAAGACAAAAGAAATCATTTAATAATGAAAGTGTAGGAAGTAGAGATTTGTTACTACTGATGTGGGCTGTGTTTCTGAGTACAATTAATGCAAACCCTTCAGTGCGCAAACACGTAACAATGCTCTTTGTGCTTTTTTTTGAACATGTGAAAGTCTCTGAATGACCATGTGGAAACCAGATTTGTCCCCAGATTTTTCAAACAAAGCAGATTTTTAGTTTAATTTAATCTGTTACAGAATTCATTTTATTTTAATTTGTCAAACTTTAATTATATCTCTATATTACAGACATCACCAGCATACTGTCTGCTCTCCATCATTTTGTTTTTTAAGGTAATTAAACTACACGAGTAATATGTACTGACTCAAAATGTTATCTAGAACGGTAACATCAAATTTCCTGCAATTATGTTAAAGCCAAGCAAAATCTGTAAAGTTGTACTGTTTTGCAGTTGCATGGGACAGTGAACTGAACTGCGCATGCTGCTAACTCATCAATCAGATGTGTGGGTGTATATGTTCTGGGGCAAAAAGGGAGTAGAAGAGAAAGCTAAAGAAGGAAAGAAAGAAGAACAGGCCTGGGAGAAAAGCAGATGGGTCAAGAGCTTAGATTGCTTGCAGATGGCTGTCAGAATAGAGCCGAGGTCCTCCTGTTAGAGCTCAGGCTGTGTTTCAAGCCATGTGCCTGGGTGTTCACTTTTATATGCAAGCATTTCTATGCTGAGTTAAGTTTGGTTTAAATTTAGTGCATTAATAATGAAATTGTATTTCTGTATATAGGTAAATTCTTTCTTTCTGCATATTTTCTGTGCAGTGTTTGCTTGTATGTGTAGACTTTACTGGCCTGCATGAGGTGTTCAAAAGAGCAGCCTGGGGGTAGGGAGCTGCAGGTGCAATATCTGTCAATAAGCTGGATTTCATTTCTACGAAAAAGAAGCCCAGCTGATTTCACTCTAGAGGCTTCTGTAGTCTCAGATGATACATTTACAAGCAATAACTCAGTTCAGACTTTAATGCATCACAATCCTTCCACTGTCCTATAAATCAGCAGTTACATTCCACATGAGCGATCCAGCGGTGGATGTTTTCATCTATACTTTACTGTAACTGTACAAAATAAAATATTATAGCCAACTAATCTTTCCACGAGTCTGTTTAATCTAAGTGACTACCGTTTGCAGTTTTAGCTTTGACGCTTTTATGTAAATAAATATTGCTTTAGGTCCTGTATGTGACCAAAACAGAATGAATCATCTTACCCAGGTCGTAAAAAATAGTTTCTGTGCTTGAAACAGAAATACCAAAAATCTCTACTGCCTCTTTGCATGGAAGCAATGAGGTTAACGTGATCCCTTGTCATAAGATAATTTTGATTTCCATTTTTAGTATTTTATATTTGGCACCATGTCTCTGTTCTGGGACTCCCCCACCCTTCCATGTGCATACAGCCAGTTGGAGAGAACAGCAATACCCCAGCACAGAACAGGGCATATACCAGTGACAACAGATATGACTGATTAAGTCAGGCACACCATGTAAAAGAAGTGTTAGGGTATAGGGGGTTTCAAAGGTGCTTGCAGATGTGCAACAACTGTGGACAGTTGCATGTCCAGCTAAGAAATCAGCTATTGTTGGCTGGTAACAAGATCAGATGATCTTCTGGGATTGAAGTTCAGCTTGGCCTTTTTGCCAAGCCTTCAAGAGACTGAGTTCTTAATTAAAGGTTCTGGATATTGGTTTGGTTGACACATCTCAGCAACATCACCTGAAACTTGAGGACAATGCCTCTGGACTGGCAGACCAGAGTGGCGGTAACCCTTTTTAAGAGGGGGGACCAGAACATGTTCTCTAATTTCAGAGGGTTCCCACTTCTCACCCACCCCAGCAAGGTCTATGACAATGTTCTGGAGAGGAAAATCCATCTGTTAGTAAAAGCTCATATTCAGGAGGAAACATGGTGGTTTGCAATACTGGACCAGCTCTTTACTCTCTCAGAGAGAATGGAAGTTTGCCCAATGAGTCTGCATGTTGTTTGTGAACTTGGACAAGGCATTCGACTGCATCTGTTGGAACATCCTTTGGGTGGTGTTCCAGGAGTGCAGGTTGACTGGCCAGTAGCTGCAGTTCATTCAGTCCCTGTGCAGTGGTAGCGAGAGCTTTATCACCGATTCCTTATAACTTTAATGGATGGAATTTGTAGGTGGAGCCAAGTGTTGGAGGATCTCTGCTCTGGTAGCCATCTGCAAACCACTTCTTTGCAGATGATGTGGTTCTCCTGGTCTCATCAACCAGCGACCTTCAACTTGCACTAGGGTGGTTTGCCGCTAATTATGTAGTGGTAGGATATGAATCAGGGTGTCAAAGTTTCAGAGTATTGTTCTTATTCAGAAAAGGGTGGAGTGTTAACTCCAGGTCATCGACAAGCTATTCCTTAAGTCGAGGAGTTTAAGTATCTTGGGGTCTTGAGTTCACGAGTGTGGGGAGAGTGAAGTGGGAGAATGATAGCAGATTGGTGTGGTATCTGTAGTGAGGCGGACACTATTGGCTTGAAGACGGAGCTGAGGGTGAAGCTGTCAGTTTACTGGTTAGTCTATGTTCCTACCTTTACGGCCATGGCCATGAGCTCTGGCTAGTAACCAAAAGAATGAGATTGCAGGTGCAAGCAACAACAATGAGCTTCCTCATGAGTTGTTGGTCTCCCCATAAGGGACCTCTGTGATTCAGGTTGGCTCACAGCGGTGCTGCTACATCTCCACATTGAAAAAGAAGCCAAGTAAAGCCTCCTGGATGTTTCCTGGATGTTGAGTAAGACAAGGTGGCCTGGGAGAGGGAGGTCTAGGTGTAACTATCGCCATGACCCAAACCTGGATAAGTGAGGATGGATGAATGAATGGATGGTTTTTCAGACATAAAATGAAGTATTTGGCTAAAGTTTGTCCTTTCTCACATTAATGGATTTTTAAGTGGTAGTATTCGTTGTCATAAATCCTTTACCTTGGCAACACTAGTGGCATGTTCTACCTGTTGAGGCAGGTCCACAATATTTCCTAAGAGCTTTTTCCACTGAAGTCATGCTGTTCCTCTCTTTAGCTCAGATAAATGTCTCTGTTGTGAGAAGCTGAGCGACAGTTGTGCTGATGAATTGGCTTTGCAATTACGAGGCTCCAGAGGAGCGAATGGTCCTCTCCCTCCTCTCTTCCCAGTCACTAAGGACACTGTCTGTGCCATTAACAACACAAAGCTCTCCAGCCTCTCCCTGGACACCTTGGCCCCACTTCTGATAAAGAGCTGAAAGCAGATCCTGTCTAGCAGTGAATCGCCTGGCCTCACCTGGGACTGACCAATAAAGCCACTTGGCTCAAGAGCTGGGAATCATGGTATACCTGTGCATAATGGCAGCAGGGGGGAAATCACTTTGCTAAGACGAGAGATACACTGGCTTGAGTTTACTTTCAGTTAGGTAAAAACAGCCCATTGAATGACTTTTGTAGCAAATTCCTGAAGCTAATGATATAAAGAAGTAATGCTTTCCTGTCAGTATCCTCTCTGATGACCTCTTTCACATCAGCCCAGAATCCAGAAAGTCAAGCTGATGTCACTGTAATTAAAACACAAGTGGTGTTGGCTCTGAGGGGGCAGGAGTTCTCTAATGGCCCTGCATCCCCAGTGCCAAGGCTGCTCAATAATGCCCTCTTTTCATTCCTGCCAGACGTAGCCAGAACAAACAGGAGAAGAAGACAGGAAAGCACTAAGGGAGACAAGAGGAAGAGAGGAGTTTGACAGAAAACAGAAAAAGCATAATTCTGTGTGCTAGACTGTCTCATCTGTTTTTGTTACTCGTCTCGTCTACATAACAGCACTGAATTATTTATTTGCCTCTGCCAGGTGAAATAAGTTTATGAATACCTCCAGTGATGAGCTCATTAGTTTCCTTCCTAATCTCTGCTTAAAAACTAAAAAAAAACATATTTATATGACCACAGACTTATTTTTAATTAAAGGATTATAATTAACGTAGATGGCATAAAAAAAGAAATCCTATTGGTTTTACTTCTGTAAACAAAATGAAAATAAATCCTTCAGGTTTTGAAACCACCTTCCATCACATTCCCATCATGTGATTCACACTGGAGTGACTTCAGTTTGCTGTCAATCTGACAATACATGACGTTCTGCATGATGTACAAACCATCACATTTAGAACTTGTTGATTAGCCTGTTTGTTTTAAGTGTTATAGCAAAAATGAGCAAATCCTCATTCACAAAGCTCGTGCTATTCTTGACAGCAGGTGATGCATACTGCAAACTAAGGCCTCTGTAGTCACTCTCACTAGATCCTCAACATCCTTTAACTGTGTATGACCCTGTGAGGTGTTTGTGAGCACTCATACATGCACAAGGCCATGTGTTTGCACTTACTGTAAAATGTGTTTACGTATTTCTAAATGGAATTAAGCCTTTCGGGGGGGAAAAAGAACTTTGTTAACCTTGCTCAACTTGTTTAACAGTGAAACATTCTTGTGTTTTGTTCAGGAGTTATCTGAGCTTCCAGACCTGTGGCTTACCAGTTGACTGACTGTAAGAAGAGATTACAGAGAATACAATCATTGGCCTTGGCTTCATCTGTAATGACGTTTCCACTGTCTTCAGAGGATGGATGCCACTCTTTTCAGGAAATATCTCCCAAGGTATTTAGATATTTTTCCTTTGCTTTTGCCAACATGTCAGGAGGGAGAAACCTCATACAGATGAGCTCTACTCTTCCTCAAATGCTTGAAATCCTTCAGCAAAAAGCACACACTGTAAACGGTAAATATGTCAAGCAAGAACCCGATGACGATCCGGAGGACAGTGCCTGATAAGATTTAAGGGCTGACAAAGGCAGCTTCACTTAAACCACTTAGGCCATTAAGGAACAGCTAGGCATACCTGAACACAATGGCTGTCTCTTAGTCAAGACAGTGAACAATGCCATATGTTCTTACAGGCTCTAGCTTCTTTCTGCAGGCTCTCTCCCTCTTCTTTTCTTTATTTCATACTTCACTTTCTCCACAATCATCAGCAGCTTATAGTGCCTGAGTGGCAGCATTAGGAGCCATATAAAGCTGTCAGGCCATTTACCTCCAGCTCTTAAGCATGAAGGTGATAGATTCAGTGACTGTAGTGAAACAGCTAGACGAGCCTCCTCTGCTCCAGCAGAGGAGGCTGTTTATCCTGGCAGCCATGCCCGGGGTCCAAGAACCCTGACGTTATGCCCGCTCAGAGCCACTGTTCTGCAGACACCGGAGGGCAGAGCCAGGGTAAACACATGACCTCAGCGTTATGTGGCGTTGAATAGGGCTGGCGGTTAGACTCAGCAGCACCAGTGGGATCAATCACCACTCACTGAGGGGAATCCCGTTAGAGTGATCAAGAGGAGAAGAAGACAGGAAGATGGAAAAGAGCTGCGAGACGGACTTAAAGGTCGATTGATGAGTTGGTCATAATTTATTTGTTGTTGCTGTGACTTACAAAAAAATGTAATTAACTAGTGGGCCAAAGTAATTGTGTGTTGATAACAAATCACACAGGGAATAGCATGCACTAGTACTAGTTTTAAATACGCCAGACTGTCACATTGCACATGTACGAATATGTGTTAATGGATTATACAACAAGCCAACTACAGCTCCTGAAGCAAGAAGCAGAGTTAGTGAAAGCGTATTAGTTTGCCTTACTGAACAAATTTGTCCCTTGCCTTGTCCCTTGGTTGCCACTTGTTGTTGAGCTACCTGCAAAAAAGAGAAACTGTGATTAAACCTAATGGGAGTGGATGTCTTCTTTTTGGGTTTGTTGGGTCTTTTTTTTGGTCACACAGCAAATGTTATATTTTAAGTGCTTAAGGTAATTTGGCTATTAATGGATATTAATGCTTAAAATATAATTTCTTAATATTCAACACCAAGTAAAATTCTACTCTCCACAAATATTTGAACTGCAGCTGCTCTGAGAATCGTCGTTGTTGTTAGGCTTGTTTGACAAATGCTAATAGTCTCTATTAGGAGCAAACTTATTATTAGTACTTCAGTTTTCCTGCCCAGACTGTGTGTGTGTAGGATTGGTTAATGCATCAGTCTTGTCTAAATATTCATTAGTGGGTGCTGAGTGCATTAGCCTTCTTTGGACTGCGAACTGATTCAACTGTTTGTCACTTGCAGTACAGTTACTTCATCTTTTACTTAAAATTACTGTCTTACTGTGACTGACTTCACATTTTTAAGCTATGAAACCATAATTATGTTTATTAAACTATGTAACAATAATGAAATATTAACAACAGACTAAAGCCATAAAAGAGTTGTAGATGAGCTCCTAATGCCAACTGGCATCTCTGTCCAGTTGCTGAAGGAGGCCAGCTGCATGGTTGTGCTGGCACAGCACTCTCAGTCATTTTGATTTCCTAGTTTTCTCCTCAGCTTCCTTCTTCCTCTCTTACCCTCCTTGCTGACGCCCAGGCAGCCTTTCAGCTCCTGCAGGGAAATGGCTTTGTCCTTATTCAGATCACAGTAGTCGGTGAACTTTCGGGCACATTTCTTGGGTTTGGCTTTCTTCTTCAAGTACTTCTTGAAAGGCTTTAGTTCCTTCTTGTTGATGTCTTGACTACCATTGTTATCCAACTGGGCAAAGTACCAGTGCACCACCCTCTCTTCTAAAGTGTGACTGGGGTCAGGCTCCACAAACCTGAGTAGATACAACAGGCAACAGAAACTGAATAAGAAAATCTGATGGAAACTCTTCAAAAAGTAATGTGAGGGCAGAATTACTTTTGGGACATTCACCACATCAATAGCCACAACTTGGTCAAATTTACTGTTAAATTACAGTAAAGTACTAGCAGAGAAGTTTCCAGGACTGGGCTCACATTTTGCAGTGTCTACAGTAATCCACAGCTTCTTACTATTAACAAAAATGATGTACTGTCTGGTTGCTGTTTTACAGTTATAATTATTTTAATGTTTCTATTGTACATTCTATAAAAAAGTTTATTAGTACAAAATATAACAGGATGTCCTCATCCATGTACCCTGAATTTAATTTCTGGTCTTTGAATTATGGAAGATAACAACTTTGATGCACTTTCTCTACTTTTTACTTCTCAAAAGTCCATTAAAAGAAATGCTTCTGTATTCAGCATTTTAACAACCACCCTGAAGATAAAAGCTGGCAGAAAAACACAGAACACTTATCACCAAAGAAAAATATAATGTGTTATGCCAGAAAAATGTAAAGTAGATTACAGTTGATATTTCCTTAAAGGCATTTACAGTATTTAACTATATGGACACTGTTATTCCAAAATATCATTCAGCTCCATCATACACACATCTTTAGCACCAATGCATAGTAACTCCTGAAGTCTAGTGTCCAGATCTTCACATTGTGTGTCATAGAAATACTCTGCGTTTGCAATTCATTAAACCAAAAGGAAACAATGTTTTCCACGAACAATCAGCCAATATGTCAGTCTGTGGTATGTGACGCTACTTACCTCCCACCACCAGAGGGGGCTGGTGAGTTTATGGCTTGCACCATGTCTGTGGTGAGGGCATCTAACAAGCTTGTAATGAATTCCACTTTCTTGCCCTCAGGGCAGCCTGGTGCAAATAAAAGACAAAAATACACCAAAATTACCTACCACAACTAATTTGAGCCATTAGGCCGCAATGAAGAGCCTCTAAACCTTCAACACTAGTGAACCACTGTGACAGATGTCAAATAGAAAACGTCTGTTAGACCGTCAAAACCTTATATAGAGCTTAGTGACCAAGTAAATCTGTTAAAAGTGACCAGGTGAAAAACATGAACGTATGAATGTATGCTTTAACAGAGGTGAAATACATTGTTTGGCTGTTTTGTTAGACTTCAAAAACACAGAGCTGAGGCACATGGGTGAGGTGGGGCAGAAGTGTGCTGTGATGAGAGAGCTTTCTTGAGCAGAGCAGACCTGTTAACTTTTATGGAACAATTTTGAACACCTTGGGTAGCTCTTTTTAATTGCCCAGATGTATTTTAAAAGCACACAAAACCCGTGCAAAATTTTCCCTCCTAATTGTGTCTCTTAAAGGGAAACTTCAAACGCAGCTGCACTGTAAACTAATCTTCCTATTCTGCCTTTTTTTTTCAGTCTCTTCTTTTTTCTCTCGAGCTCTCTCTGTAGATCCCCCTCCTCCCCCTTTCTCTGAGGATTTGTGGCCTCCTCATCCTCTGCACCATTCACGTCTTTTTCTTTCCTTTTGTGTTAGCTCAGGACGGTCTGTGGGAGGCGGGTTGATGCCCCGCCAGGTGAATCCAATTAGCATTTCCTACAGCATGACAAGCTTGAAGAATCTCTACCTCGCTGTGCTTTAATCCAAGTGTTAAATTGGGGTGTTATGAAGCGCAAACTGTTACGTTGTATGTAGCTTATGAGGCAAGGTGGTTCAGGATGTCTGCCAGCATAAAAGAAGCTGCAGGCACATGAAAGCTGCTACAAACATGATTGTTGCAGGTGTAAACATAAAGAAGGGTATTTACCCTTGAGAGACTCCAAATGAGACACCTCCCCCCTCTCAACACCTAAAATGAAGTTAGATACTGGTGGGTGTTAACCAATATATGCAGCAATACTGGTATATCTGTGACAGGCCAGCTGATAAAGTCAGGCTTTACCTACAGAGCAGACACTGTAAATACTGCATTGGCGGCATATGTATGTGGATGTGTTCAACCTTTCAATTTGAAGGCATTTGCTGATTCATGAAAAGTGTAATTTTGCTTTACTGTTTGGTGGACTTTACCATTATCACATTACAAATTGCATTGTCCTAAACAATTCTATTCAAAGTATAGCCACAGGCAACTAAGGCTTTACTTTACTACAGTTGAACTTAATGGATCTCATCCTTTGGTCTCAGAGGACGAGCTGTTATATGCTCAAAAGGACAGAAGCAATATTGTCATTATGTGTAGTTGGTGAGGCTGAACCTGTAGCCAAATGCTGTTAAGCCTCACCTCTTAAGCATTCTTTTTTCACCATTGCCTTAATGTGACAGCCATGAAATATCATGCTTTGTTGTGGCGGTTCAGAACATCCCTCTACAGTACATAAAAATATCTACACTCAGCTCCCTGCAGTATCCAACACCACCAGCAGCCCCCCCACATGCCTTGCCACCACACCCCACAACACTAACACCTTCCATAAAACATACCACACATCTGCTGCACAGTCAGGAGTATGCTTGACTCTGTAAACTCACCAGATGGGGAATTAAACAAGAGTTACAATGCAGCCTTAAATGATGGGGAAACAGAGGGGCAACAAAAGTAAGTGAGCAGTAACAAGGGCAAAGGAGTATGAGCCCATGTTACGACCTCTGGCTCAGGGGGCAATCTGAGTCATGCATACTTAAAACTTTCCAGGTTACATTCTTTAACATGGATTTAAAAGCAGAATTCATGTGGATTATTATGTAGGACTTGGGCTTTTTTTTTTTTTTTTTGCAACAGCCACAAACAGGTATACATTGACAAACCACATCTCTGTGTATATATACTATTTTTCAGTTATTTGCTTATATCATTCATCTAAATAGCTATAAAGAGTTTTTTTCCATTATATTTTGGTATCGGTTTCTCTGTTTTGGCAGTATTGACTTGTGGTGCTCAAAGTGCCAAAAAATAAATTTAAAAAACTTAAGCAGCAATCTCTCTTTCCAGCAAAGACACATTGTTGTGAACAGATTCATGTAAAAATCATTTTCTTTCTACCAAACCACACTTGCCAATCCCTTCATGCTACAGAAGCTTCCATTTACCCATGACAAGCAGCCAGTCCCGGTGAGAGGGTGTAAACATTGATGCTTTCCCCCTCAGCTAAGCTGTGTTGTTGGCTAGAAGCTAGTGTTTTGATATTAAAGTCCAATGACAGTTATTATTTGGAAAGCAAGTTTGATCTCTAAAGCAGCTATAAAATTTCTACCAGATAATAAATGGAAAGTTTCTGTACTCCCACACCCAAATTGGATTGAACTGCAGTGAAAAAGTGAAGTGACCTTGCAGTTCTCTGCCTTGGAATGCTTCTTCTGTATCCGAGACTCGAGATCGTGCAGCTCCATCGCACTCAGGCGTCTGGTACCTGTTACAAAGAGGCAAGCACATGGCTGCATGAGATAGAAGCCGAAGAGGAAAAGCGTAAATCTGTCTTAGCAAAGTGTGAAAAATTGGAGACATCAAAGGAGTTGATTTCGAAAGATCTGAACAGCTAGAGAAGGAAAAAAAAAATCATCACCTGAAACTAAAACCGAACCGAACTAAACAAAAAAACCACCACAATCCAATTAGTCTTCCATGATCTCATTTGCAACATGTAACAAATGATTCAAATTCTGACTTCTTCAAATTACAACCTCTTGCTCTCTTGTCTTTGATCTGTATGCTCTCCCTTCATCTCAGTTGACCGTGATTAACCTTTCTTTATAGCTTGATAAATAAATTGGATTTGAAGTGCACAGAGCTTTTTTTTTTTTTTTTTTTTCAAAGCCATAACAAACTGTTCAGCATTACGCGTGGCATGACTCGTTTTCTCCTGGCTATTATATCAGTGGTTCATACGATGGAAAATGGAGCACATGTGTTTGATTTGTCTTTTTTTTTTTTTTTTTTTTAAGCAAAAGCAAGTTATCAACTCTATATTTTTTTTACACAGTCTGCACAGCCACTGATCCAAGATGGGGATATCTGATGGATGGATGAATCTGCACATTGGTGTTTGGAGAAGAGAAATTGGGATGTATGACATGAGTTCTAGTCCAAGTGTATTTTTATGTTAAGGAATAACCACCTCAGGGTTTTCATAAAAGAGCTCTGAAATGCAGATCAGAATTTGCTCTGTCTAAAGTTTCCTGTTGTGCCAGTGATTTATCCTAGGGTGTCAAAAAATAAATAAATATGCCTTCTGGTATCTTATTGATTTGAAACTAAACTTGAGCTATTGTCTATTCAAACAGAAGACCATATCTTCAAATTTGAAAAATGTCTTTACTTCAGCTTGTAAAGCATTAAGCCTTTTGGGGAGAGAGAATAACGATTCCTTTTCAGGAACAAAATCAGTTCATTTCTTCACCAGTGCATGCTTATAGTCCATGCTTTGTCTTTGTCTCGCCACTTGTTTGAAGTTGTAATATTCATCTTCTGATTACAAATCACGAAAACATTTTACAGAAACAAAACATGAGCAGTGAACACTCATTTTTTTCGAACGTGTTTTTAGAGATCCCCCAACATGAAGCTCGTGCACAAAAAATACTGTGCTTTCCTCAAAGCAATGTAAACAGTAGCAACTGCACTAAAAACAAAGTCATTTCAGAAACAGAGTGTTTATAGCTAGCTAACCGAAATTCACATAATCTTGGAACTAATTGCTTTGGCAAGTGAACTGGCAAGAGAGCTTGGATCCAAAACTTTCTGGATAATATAACTGACCAGTCTGTCAGTGGGTCCACCACTTTAGTCTGACTTACAGCAAAAAGGTGTGTTATTCTTGAGCTTCTCCTTTGTTGATCCAAGTGAATTATTTTGGGGGATTGATTGCCTCAAATTTTGGAACCAATATGTGCTTTTCAGGAATGGATTCCTAGATTGGTGATTATGACTCCACAATCATTCATTCTCAGATGCCCTCAAATTAACTACCGTAGAGCACTCTTGTTTAAAATTAGACAGATTATTGTTTTTAACACATTTCAGTCGTCCTGTTATTAGCATGTCAGTTATTCATATGATGGCAGACAGACATACATATCAAATCAATTAAAAACATCTGTAACTACTATAATAAATGATATTGTTTCTTTACGCGATTTTCTGATAATCTTACCTGGTAGAAGTTCCAGGAATGGGGCGTCCCGTGTCCACCAGAACACACCAACAGTAGCCTGTGGACTGGTGGCACTGGACGGCCTTGTAAAGGCCTCCAGGCCCACAGTCGGGGATGAAAATGGCCTCACGAGGATTCTGCAGAGCCTCTTCCAGAGCACTCTGTCTCTCCTGGTCACAAGAGGGAACTTTCTCTAAAAGTATTAGAAACACACTCAGTACAGGAAAATAACAGATTTGGGAAACCAAATACAGACAGCACATATACAAAAAATTACTACTACTAAATTAAAATGTGAAATATGTGGAACAGGGTTCTGGAAGTGTTCACTGCAAACCAGATGTTGGCCTCTGGTAACATTTTATGTGGCCTGTGAGCACAAAAAGGGAAAAAATCCATTAATGTGCATTTTATTCAGGACATAAATGACAATTAACAACGTAAAGCCTTATGTCCTGACCAGGCAATTTATAAATACAAACCAAAAGTTTTAATATGGGCATTTTCCAGTGAGACTCAGTCATGTACTGGCTGTACAAAGAATCAGTCACACAGTTCCTAGAGACCTGTAACCATCTCGTAACTACCGGTCATGAGGAAAATTTGTATTCTCCAACAGGTTGCAAATGGTTGCTGAGAGTTACTATGAAATTGATTGCTGTTCTGTTAACTCAGGTCTAGAAACGAGTCGGTGATTCCCACGGTAATCATCAGTCACTAAGGAAAAGTGTGTACTCCACGAGCAGTTGGCAAGGGGTTGCTAGAGGCTGCTGGAGGTCACTAACAGGTTGCTGTGGTCATTTGTAGTTTGGATGGAAAATGCTGACTTGTCTGCAAATATTCAACTTTTACTTTGAAGTGTGTTTCGGGTTTGCATTGCACTTTTTCCAAGTTTTACTACACCTTCAAGAATAAATGACATGTGTTTCAAGAGAAGTCAACATCGTCCATGCAAACTATAAGCAACCACAACAATTGTAAAACCAGCAACATCAAGCAATAACTTACCTACCAGTCGCAGACACACTTTTTTTTCGCAACCTGTGGTTATCAGGGTGTCACTGACAGGTTCCCTCTGAGACTCAGACCTAAATTAATGCCATTTTCACATGTGTGGTGACATATGTTGGGTGAGTGCGCCCTGCCCCTTTCTTGAATTCAGCTGCCATCCGGTTCTCCTGAGAATCAGCCACCTGACAGTATAAAAGCTAGGGAAGAGCTGCTTGGTCAGTATGTGTTAGGACCAGCCTTGAGAGTATTGAGCTATAGTGGTGTCTTGTCTGAGCTGTGACTGAGAGTTTATCTGGGGGTCATAGCAGTAGATATTACCGGACAGAGGTTTATGTAAGAAAGTAAATGTTCCATTCAGTCATTTGTTCTCCCAGCACCTTTGTGCAAAGTCTGTGTGAGCCCATGTTAAAATACTGCACAGCAAGCATGTGGATGCCAGGCATACTCCCTCCAAGCATGTTCCAGGGAGGCAATTGTCACTGTTTAGTAACAACATTGGGTTACGGAGAGATAGTCACATTCTTAACTGCAGATTTTTTTTAAAAATCAAATAGGTCTTTTGTTAAATCACCAATTTTTGACCACCCCAAGAGTAATGCCATTAGCAGCAAAGTTAAATTATGGCTTTACCCACCGCAGTCTTACATGTTTCTGCTCAAAAACAGGCCTCAACCCTTGAGAGATGCTCCTGCAGCACCTTGTCTCAGTGGATGAAGAATGTATTTATATTCACATCCATTTAATCCATTGCTCACTCTTAAGCCACGTCCAACAGAGCTAACTGCTGAGATGGTTACCAAGGTGATTAAGTGTGCTTTGGTTGCTGCAAATCCATTCTTCATTTTACATTCAAGTACGCTATGATGAAGCCTTAAGCAACAATAACAGAGCCACAGTGACTTTTCTTCAAGGTGGTGACATGTGGTGGTGTTTTCACATTAAGGGGCTGACTAGTGCCAAGACAGTGCCTGCAGTCTCAGCTTTTGCCACCAAAGCATAACAGCTGTATCACACAGCCCCTGCCTAATTCAGATCAGCATCAGAGAAGTTGAGCAGTGAAAACAGAAATTAGATTTCTGGTCTTTACATAATTTAAGACCATCCAATAAAAAGCAGGTTGTATTCAACTCCTTTACGTTAGCAACCACAATAGCAAATCAGTAGTTGTGAGCACTGCTCTAGGCATTTCAGAATCTGTTGCTGTTGATTTAAACATGTAGACATGGTGAAGTTGGCCTGCTTAAGCCCAAACCAAGCATCAGAATAGAGAAGAAAGGTTATGTGAATGTAGCATGATTGTTGGTGCCAGACCGGCTGCTCTCAGCATTTCAGATCTACTGGGATTTTCCCACACAACCATCTCTAGGGTTTGGAGAGAATGGTGAGGAAAAGAGAAAATATCCAGTGAGCTGCAGTCCTCTGGGAGAAAATGCCTTGTTAATATTAGAGGTTAAAGGAGAATGCCCAACCTGGTTCAAAATGATGGGACGGAAACAGTAACTCAAATAATGACTTGTCACAACAAAAGTATGGAGACGAACATCTCTGAACACGCAACACATTGAACCTTTTAGTAGACTGGATGCTACACAGGCTACCCAAAAATCTAAAAAAAAAAGAAGATTGAAAGAAAATTGCCTGGTCTGATGAGTATTGCTTTCTGCTGACCGTCATCTAAAATCCACAGACTTTCTGATTATTGCAGTTAACCATGACCATACCTTTGTGAACACTCCAATCATTTCTTGGTTTCTTGTACCTACAAATGGCCTCCACAGTCACCAGAGCTCATTCCAATAGAACAACCTTGGGGTTTTAGTGGATCAGGATGTGGTACGACTCATGCCAATATGGACCAGAATCTCTGAGTAACGTCCCCAGCAACATATACAATCAACATTAAAAACAATGAAAGCAGTACTGAAGGCTTTAAAAGGTCCAACCCATTACTAAGAAGTTGTACCTGACAGTAGCTTTGAAGTTTTTAAATTACACACATAATACCTTGTGTAACTCTTTTCTACATGGTTATAGACTCCCTCTCCTCTTTCCTACACCTGTATTTCAAAAGCAAATATAATGATACTATCATGGTCTTTTTACAAATTCACAATAACACAGAAAGCAGTGTTCTGGAACCTTAGCAGGAAATAATAATAAAAATCACAGTGCTGATTTAAAGGCTGACATTTAAATCATAATGCTGTGCTTAGAGTACAGAATATTATTGTCTGTTACAATGGCTGCTGTATCCATTTAGTCATAAAAACTTGTCTTTTTATGACTGAGACACATGACAGATCTACACTGGTCCCTGATCAATCACGGCTGCCATCTTTCACGAGATGCCTGATGTCACTGGATGGAAGTTCAGGAAAAGAGTGTAAACAGCCAATGGTAACCAGATAGTATTACGATACTGGCTGTCTTGTGTTTAATAGTTCCACCTAGCTACTCCAGCAATATTATTCATCTTTTGCTTTGCTTTGTTTCCAGTTTTGCAAAGCTGAGCAGGGGGGAAAAAGTCTAAACAGCTGGTGGAGCACTCTGTACTCACGTCAGTCAACTTTACAGAAGTGACAGAATTGTTTTGAGTCTTCCACAATTTTTCCAAGATGCAAGTCTTTCTGTGACACTGACTGACTGCTGTACACGATGCTCGCTTTCATCCCCAGCTTAAACAAGTGCCCTGCTTTGTCCGCATCACGCAATAATCAAGCTGATATCATGAGCGCAAAACTTTATAGGTGGCGTTTTGAGAACACTGGGTCATGAAAAACCTAGCATGTCATTACTTCTGTTTCTTTTTGTTTTGGCAGTGACTGTGTGCAAAACACAATACTCTCTTATCACGATCCATGGTGAAGTTAATAAAGGTGGAGATGACGGTGGTGGCAGGTTCAGCAGAAGGCCTGAGACCTAGCGGAGGAGAGTGGGAGGTGGGGAGGTCAGATTTCCTGAGCGTGGCTGCCAGCACAGAGCTAAACGTGTCCTTGCACTAAAGAACATTTTTTGTCCTGTAAGGACTCATACTCAAGTGTTCTTAGTGCTGTCCTCGCCAAGGTTCCTTCACATCCAAATTATTTAGCACTGTTTATTATACAGAGGTTATGCTGGCGCCAGGCACTAGGATTCCCAAAAGAAAATTGTTTTTGTACATATAAATGGAAAAAGGCTGGATGCTTGCAATGTAATCCTTTCAGTTTTGTGTGGACATGAAATTCAATCAACGTCGTCCAGGCCTGCCTTGGATATCTGCATTTCTGCTCTATTTATTTTTTGTTTTTGTTTCTTTTTCAATTTTATTTCCCTTCCTTCGACAGGAACTGAAAGACAAGAAACACAAAACCCTCAGAAAACAAATATTGTAGTTTGGGGAAAAAAATGAAACCCACACAAGTGGAAGTCAGGAACAGTTGTAACAATGTGATCATTGTTGTTGTGATTTTCTTCAGGGCAAATTGATAATGAACAAAAGATGGCTGTCTGCAGTATCTTTGATAACACGCTTGCCCCATTTTATACGTCTCACTTTGGCCATTGTTACTGAGGCTCCAGCCTTAGCAAAATAATTTTTAATCTCCTTTTTTTCTTTATTCCTATGCTTGTTGTGACCACCCTCACTTTCTCAGTCCTTTCCTCCACTCCTCTACATATTTTTCTTTCTTTTTCTTTTACCCTGCTTCCCTCCATCCTAATTCCTCCGTCTTTAAACCTGCTCTCCCCCCTCCGATTGCTCTCTTTTTCACTTCACTTCAATGGCTTTCAGCTGTTGGGTAATCACTGCAACATTGTCTGCCTTCTCTGCAGTTAAGATGGCAGAAATGTTAGTAATAGAGGAACTCTGTGAGGATGTATATAGGTGCATGTGTTTGTCTTTACAACACAACAAAAGCATTGAGATGATAGAGACTCATTAAAAAGATGGTGTAACTTTTGAACACATCAACCGAACAGCCGAAACCTGTTGCTGTGCACACTTATTGCCCTTTAAAGTTAAACAAGTGTATCCTGCCCTCTTGCATGACATGTAAATGGGATTACAAGAAACAAAAGTCTTTTTAAGACTGCAAATGTTTAAACAAAATCATGCGCATTAATGACATGATCGCATTATATCCCTTCAGCATTTTTGTTTTTCTTTTGTTTGCTTCACCACAAGAGAGGAGTGGTGGTTTGTAAGTTTCTGCTTCTCTGTACACTTTTAAAAATGAGCTGCATGACAGAGCGCTTCCCCCTGCTTGCAACATTTGATCAACAGCACGTCAAAGTCTGGCAACACAGCATCTGTTTGAAAAATGGACCTTGCTTTGCTTTGCCTAAGCAAACACATTTCACTAGCACAATCTCCACATCTCTCTAAATCAGAATTATTGAGTGTCCAGAGACAAAGCCTGTAAATGAATAACGCAGTTTATGTGCATGCGGGATGTCTGCTCCATTAGGACTCAGGTTATTTCACTTTGTATTTAAAGAGAGGTAGGTTTAAATAAGGATTGTTGTGCCAAATCTTCTCTGCTTAGAAATGATTTTATCCAGAAGTTAATAAAGCAGTTTGTCAGTATAAGGAGCCCTGCCAGCCTCTGCCCTTGTCCTAGAGTCAAGTGGAGAAATTGCCTGGTGGGTAGAGAGATTTATTCGCTGTCTCTTCCCTTTCGCGTGCCAAATTGTCTGAGTGAGTGTATGTGTATGAATATAATACAACAATATATCACCTTGCTAGTACCCATTTGGACAGCTTTTGCCTTTAGAACTGCCATGATTATTTTTAATTTATTTTTGATCTGTGCTGACTGGACAGCGTCACAAAGTTGCTCCAGATTTGTGACCTGCACATCCACGATGTGTATCTCCTGTTCCACCATATGGAGTTACGCTATTAGAATGACATCTGGTGACCGTGGAGGCCATTTTGAGTACAATGGACTCACTGTCATGTTCAAGAGACCAGTCTGAGATTATTTGATGTTTGTGACATGGTGTGTTATCCTGCTGGTGGAAGCTTTTGAAGATTAATAAACTGTGGTCATAAAGTTAGGCTGTGGCATTTAAATGATCAGCTTGTACTTTTTTTTCTTGGTTAAATGATTATAAAAATTACAAAATTGTTAGAAAATTCTAAAGACAGAATGGATCCATGAATGAAGTATGAGAAAGGGCAGTTTTTGCAGTGAAGAAGAATGGGGTTTTAAATCTTTTTAGGGTTTTAATGTTTTCAAAACATGTTAAAAAGGAAGAAGGCAAAGCATTAAGGATATTAACAAAAGACAAACAATGGACTTTTTTTTACTAACCAATCAGAAGACACGCTGTGATTGTGTATGGTGGAGCAAACAAATTACAAATTAGTTATTTAATTTATTGATTTCCTTCTTGAGTTATCGCATTCACAAGATTTTCAGAAGACTTGACCTCTGACCTTAACCTTCAGGTTGATGCTACTGCAATTCAAATCCAGCTGAGATTTTTAGTAGATACACCTTTGGCATCAATTTGAAACTCTTATATCGCCTCGTTCTCCAGTTACAGCATTGACAAACATGGGCGTCAACGGCACCCACACCTCCAGCTAATGACAACGGTCCGAGAGCCTTTTACGGCTGATGGGTAAAAGTGATAGATGTGTTTTTGTTCCTTTGTTGCCACAAAGTCTTGTAGCTAAAAGAATTTGTGACTGAGGGACGATCTTTACATTGTTGAGGTATTTTTTCCTGTTTTTTTTTTTTGGGGGGTTTTTTTGGCAGATAAAATGCACATGCAAAATGTGACCTCTGCCTTAAAAAGTACCAGCAAACAATGCTACAGCTGCCACTGTTAATGGAAGAGATGCTATCAGTACCAACCTGCTTTGCAATGAGGTAAAGTCACTACATTTAGAAGTCCTGCCCTCTCATGTTAAGTTTATTTCACCCCTAAACTGAGAGTAGCTTTTTCACTTATTGTAATATTACTAATACTTAAAGTAAAATATACTTATTTTACTTTATTGTATTTATTTCAGTTTTTACCTAATTAATTTTTCATACTGTATTATATGTAAGTTATATGCCCTTCTACATATTTCATATATGTTTGTTGTGAACTTTGAACTGCTATAACAAAGGAGTTTTCCCACCAAAACAAAATATATCTTACCTCTTCTTTTCTTTATCTGAAATGTACAGTAAGCTACATGGACAGTATAATCAACATGTGCAAAGAATTGTGAATGCTGGTATCTCAAAGTACAATAAAAAGTTATTTTTTTAAATAGGTAACATTGTAACATAAGAAATAATTTATATTGTGGATATTTTGTAACGTAACAAGTACTCTTAAAAGTAACATTACCCAGCACTGGTAACTAGCTCATTAAATTAAAGAATTACAAAAGAGCCAGTGCACTTAAGAATGTAAGCAGAAGAAGTGTACTGATACAAGTTTTCAAGAACAAGGATGTTGTGCAAAACTGTTGTAGCTATAGAGGGATAACGCTGAAGCTAGGTTAAGATCAGAATTCATGAGTATTGGTGAAAAAGTATAAAGAAGGTCAAAAGGAGTTACACAGTGTTCTTGCTGATCTAGAGAAAGCATATGATGCCAAGAGAAGGGCAGAGAGGGTGGTGCTGGACATGTAAGACAGCGGTGAGGTGTGGGGTGGGAATGACAGATGGGTTCAGAGTGGGGATGGGATTACACTGGGGATGACACTGCCTGACAGATGAGGTCAGGCAGGAATTTCCTTGACTATGATGTTATGATCTGTGGTGAGAGTAGGGAGCAGATGGAAGAGAGCCTGGAGAGGTGGAGGTATTCTCTGGAGAGAAGAGGAATGAAAGAAAGACAGGATACGTGTGTGTGACTGAGAGGGAAACGGGTGAAAAAGTGAAGGAGACCATTTTAAATACCCGGGGTCAACCATCCAAAGCAACGGACACTGCACAAGAGAGGTGAAGAAGAGAGTGCAGGTGGGGTGGGTGGAGAAGAGTGGAGGGGGTGATTTGTGATAGAAGGATAGCATGAAGTGTAAAAGGGAAGGTTTACAAGATGGTAGTGAGACCTGTTATGATGTATTTTTTGGAGATGGTGGCACTGACAAAGAGACAGGCAGAGCTAAATATACGGGATGGACAAGATTAGAGAAGACAGACAAACTTAGCGAGGAACGGTTGTGATGGTTTGGATGTGTGCCGACAGGAGGGATGGTGGATATATTGGACAAAGGATGTTTAATATGGAACTGCCAGGCAGGAGGAAACCAGGAAGACCACAGAGAAGAGATTCATGGATGAAGTGAAGGAGGATATGAAAAGGGCTGGTGTGGCAGAGGAGGATGGTTGGGATAGAATGAGATGGAAGCAGACGATCAGCTGTGGTGACCCCTAAAGGGAGCAGCCAAAAGAAGAAGAGGTTTAAGTACACTTCCTCCAGTAACTGTTATTTGCTTTCCAACTTTAAATTAGGCACAGGCACACAATCTCCTTTGACAACACACACAAACACACACGCGGTTTGCAATCACATGCAGATGTAGACACACACACACACACATCGCTCATGCCTCAAATGTGATGACATCTCCCCCTCACTCGGCCTTGTCGCTTGTCCTTTGAGGACACCGGATGCTAATTTGAAACAGGAAGCTGGTGTTTCCACAGAAGTTTCAAAGAGCTGTCACAGCAAATACCTCTTAGATAAAATACACCCCTCAATGCTGACCACAGTTTCCCCTGCCACATCACCATCATTCATAATCCCAGGAAACCCCAAGGTACAATCAAGTATTTGTATGCCTCATTGTTTGCAGCGTAGCATGTAAAATCAGATTTTGTGGTAAATGGCAGACAAAAAGGTTTAGGATGAAAGAAGAGTTGTGAGATTACATAGATGCCTCAACAATATTTAGATGCAAAATACTGAGGTGTGCAAGAAGACGGGCAGACAAACTACTGGTGAGATGTGGTGAATTTTTTTCTTTTTTCCTTTCTGTATTTTACCGGCAAAAACTACGGGGCTTACAAGTCTGCAAGCTTCCACATCAGTTTTCATGGGTATTTGATTTCCTGAAAGTCTGATTAAATCATAAATGCTTTTTTAAACACTCGTGGAAACATTATAGCTCAACACAAACACAGTAAGTGCCTGATTTGCACTTTTTCCCCCCATTTTTTCCATCTTTAGGAGATACAGTCTGAATGAAAGATTTATTATTGAAGAAAATAGACTGTTTTTAGACTTTTGAAGATTTACATCAACCCATATATATCAGCTAACCAATATATCCATCTACTCCTAATACACATATGCTCACACAGGCCACACTTCATTCACTCCTCGACTTGGTACAGCCATCAAACCGCCCAGAGTTTAGTGGACACGTCAAGGCGTAATTAAAAAGGAGACAGAGAAAGCTAAACAAATTACACCAAAGGAATGAAACCACAAAACATAACCCTGGCAGTGTAGGTCTGTCTTCAAGTTAAAACAGATTACATTTCATGGCAAGCTGGTGGTTTTGAAACTGGTTACACCGGAGCCACGTTTATATATACTTTCTTTAGGGTTCTAGCAACTTCTCTGATACAGCTTTCATATCTTCCAAAGGTCAGTATGGCTAATTATTTAGCCTGAGTATGTAAAAAGTGTGGCAGATCTGAGTTTATCAGCATCCAACAATGCTATATTTTAAGGGCTTCACGCACACAAACTTGCAAATTAATGCATACCCCTAATGCCTTTATTTTAGAGAATATGTGTAGAATAAGCAGAAAATTTTTCTTTCACTCACCTGGTTTCCTGGAAGAGGAGCTGTTCTTTTTGTTCTCCTTGTAAACCAGCTGTTTTATCCATAGTGTTGGAGCAGTTATCTCTGCAGCGACAGAATGACAAGTTCTAGACAAATAGCTTTCACACATTTAGGTGATCTCGAGAAAATTTTACACACAGCCGTGCTTTATTTAACCTCACCAGTAGCTACTTATTTGAAAAGCAACATGCACAGCCAAGCTTTGCCCACAAAACCAAAGCTAAAATTGCATCCAAGATCCCAGTTTTTCCAAAAATATCAAATGTATCATTTGGTATTTTAACATCTGGCCTTTTCCATTTGATGTAATGGTGCATTCTTAAGACATGGGATGTAAGCACACAAAGGAGCAATGCTGTCAGCTGCCTTTAAACCTATGAGTCATTATAAATATACCGTATGCACACTAATTATCTAAGCGACTGTGTAGGAGTTATTGAGGAGGCTTACCATCACCCTCAGGGGGGACATGAGTCTCCATGGTGGGTGTGGGCTTGGAGCCATCATCTGGGTTAAGGGTGAGAAAGAAACGGAAAGAGACTACTATTATTGAGGTTAATACAATCTACTCTCCAGAACTGTTGAATGGTTGGGATTTGCACATGGCCCGGCCAAGACAGACAGACAGACAGACAGACTGAATAATATAGAAAGGAGAGAGAGAGAGACAAACACCCACATGTGGTCCTGCACACATGCATCAATAAATCATCCTCACACCAACATGATCAGCTGCACATTTAGCACACTCACTCACACTCGCAGTGTAAACCACACACCCAGACACTCACACGAGGAGGACACCGCTCCTCAGGACAAATGCAGTGCAGATGTAGCATCAGAAAGCTGCATCCACAGTTAATGCAAAGAGGTGAAACTGTCTGTGTCGTCATTCTTAATTGTCAAATTATGTTGTAATGTATCGCTAGGAAGTAGGTCAACTGGTTAGTCCGCCCAAAAATGTTTGTTTTTGGTGAGATCTCAAGTTCCTTGAATGCATTAAAATTTGGAAATAATATACTCATGGATGTCCAGGGAATTTACCAAAGTGAATTCGGTGATGGTCTCATCGTTAGTTTACAATCACGTCACGCTGGAAAATTACTCCTTCACACCTTGGTTAAGTAGAAGGATATATAACAAAACCAGTTTAAAATGGAATCACACGAGTTTTTACAAAAATAATACGAGGTCATTTATTCTCCCAAGCAGATACGCATCACTCAAGCATCATCCTCGGGGCAAACTTTTATGTCTTCAAAACACATGAAGTACTAGATAATTAACTGTCTCGGACACTAAAATAAAAAACACTAATAAGCCACAGAAGAATCTTATTAAGCAATATTTTCCTCTTTTTTCCTTTCGTAAAATATGCCAGTGTAGAAGGAGACTTAGAAGTTGTCGTGACTCCCTTGTTTTTGGCAGATGCAAATATGTAGCTCACTTTAACTACTAACCAAAACTACAAGTAATAAAATTGAAGATCACAATATAAACGTTTATTCTTATTCATTACAGTTAAACACTGGTAAAATATTTGTGTCTCTGCTCCCACACTGAGGGCCAAATAAACTGCTGTCTTCAGTTTTCTTGGTAAATTATTAACTAAATATTTGACTTTCCTCCCTTAAACACAGTAAATTCTGGCAATGCTAAAGTTCATATGGGTATAACAAAAATACAACAATTTAACTGTTAAGCAAAAACTAAAAACATTTCAAGTCCGTTTTTTTACATTTATAGATGTGATTATAAAGTTTTGCAACTCTGCCTATTAAAGATTCAAGAATGCTTTCTGGAAGTCCCCCTCTGTTATCACATGAAGACTTTTGAGTTTGCTATGTAGCCCACAATCGCACACTGTTTCAAAGTGGCAGGTGAGCAAAGCTTTTATTGGCGAGGTGAAAATACTCCTGCATTTCAATTCACTGTGAGCATGTGCACAGTGCACACCTAATCTTTTCCCTCTGTGCAATATAGTAGACCTCCATGCTGTCAGTCAGATCCTATCAAGGCAAATTCAAACCCTGTGAATGATGAGCATGGTCGTGACTGTCATTTGCTGCCTTTGGATGGAAATTTCTGTCAAAAACTGCTGTTTGGTCTCAGGAGCCAGAGCCCCAGCTCTCATTCTCCACTATACTCTGCAGTGACGTAGAAGTTGATAGTTTGCTCCCTACAAAAGTCTAAAGTCCATGTTTATATACCCCTTGCAGTTAGAGTAGAACTGATTTCTAAAAACTGCAGCTGCATTGAAAGTAACCCAGGGGCACCAAAGAGGGTGACCTTGTAGGGAAAACTGGTAAAATTTAAAGTAGCTAAGCTTTTAGGTAGAGTTGCAAAACTTTAAAGGATCTCATGTAATGCTGTGAATTGAACTGCCTAGAATACTCACCCACATGCGGTATTGTAGCATCTGGAAAATTCCTTGGGAAATAATTCAATCAAAAGCAAACAACAGAGAAACTTTGATTGGAGATAAACACTAACGTTAAGTTCTTAAATCAGATGACATGTCAGTAATGTTAAAGAACCTGAGGTCAAACTGACCTATTCAGGTTGAACTGTAAATAAAATGCAGTAGTCACTGGGTCGGTCTTGGTGTAAACCCAGGTGAAACAAAGAATGAGCAGCAGCGTTTTTGTTTTGTTTATTAAATATCTCTCTTAATTTACCATATATGAGAAGTCTATGTGTCTATGCTTATCACACTGCTAGAGTGTGATAAGCATGTCAAAATAACCTGTAACTTACTGCAATTGTCAAGTGGTGTGAAACGGCATCGGCAGAGAAGCTTCGAGAGACTGCCCACTTTTTTCAGTTTAAAGAAATTCCTTAAGATCTGTTTTCTGTGAGATTTCTGAAGCAAAGACCGATTTTTAGAGGCTCAGTAGAAAGTCTCCTCAGTGTTTCTTTAATTTCTTGAATTAATTCTATAATGTTCCATATTTTATCATTCCTGGAGGGTGGGGAAAAAAGCATAACTTGAGCAAAACCAGTCAAGATTTTGGACAGATTTGTTAAAACTGCTATGGTTAAAGATGAACTGTCACTTGAGGGATGCATTAGACAGTGGTGCATATATTTGAGATCTTTATAACAAATTCAGCATCATTTGCATCCTATAAAAGGGGGGAAACATCTCTTGGTGTTGTTTTTAGATTCCCTTTAACAGTGAAGGCCAGTACGTGTAAGTTTGTGTTCTTCACAAATGTTGACTTTGCATGGATCACATGGAGTAAAATCAGGTCAAAACACTTTTAGGGTACATGCACACATAACAGCAGATCACAACTCACCTTTTCTATCTGTGTTTGGTGGCCCTGGTGGCTTATCAGTTACTGACCCTGGGAAGAGGAAGAAACAGTGTAAACCAAAGACTAGACAGTAACAGCCAGTAAAGTTACATTTAAAGGATTTGTCTTCAAAACTGTTTTTTGTTTTTTGTTTTTTTTTTTGAGCTGGTAAAATAAAAAAAAATTACCAACTTACAGCAAGTAAATATGTTTTTATTTCTTTTAAAACAGTCGACACAGGAAACATCAGAAAATTCCAGCACTCCTACTGATTACCCAATCCACTGGTGTCTCTTCTTTTGGTTAGGTGGACGAGTACATATTGTTAGTACTATGCATAATTTTAATACAGACCAACGCAAAACTGAATGATCTGCTTCATCTGTGGAAATTAAACATGAAAGATTCCAAGTTCTAAATGTCATTCTTGTTTGGTGCATGCAGGTATTTGGTGTCATGCGTGGATGCACGGAGGGCAGGGCAAAATTAAATGGTGCAACCAATTACAATAGAAGAGAAAAATGGGAGATTCTATTTTAAGTTAAAGCAACTAGAAGGAAATTTACTACCTGACAATCCACTTGTCCCAGCATGAGTTCCCATAAATTCACGGAAGTTTCCTGCAAATGTATGCGAGATGATTGATTTGGGTCACAGTAGACAGGTGCATCTGAGCATGTCAAAGGTTATTTGATTGGGAAGGGGCAGATGAGCTGGGCATGTACTGTTAAACTTTAGTATCCGGAGACACCAGTGGGTTTATTGTGCCCAGATTCAGGCACCAGTGTCATACATACCTTTGCAAGAAACAATGAAGATATCGAATCTTATGCAGGACAGAAAGGAGACAGGTAGAAATTGTGTTGTGCAATAAACTACATTTCAGGATTTTAAAAAGAGTGTATTTAAACACGATTACACGAGAATGCACTTTCCAACCTTTGCTAAGTGTAACTGCTTTTAATTAATCTGTTATCTAGACTCAAGTGTCAACTTTATTAGTGCAACTCGCTGGTATCTACAGACTGTGAAGCCATTTGAGTGCATTGTCATGTTCAAGAAACCAGTTCAAGATGATTTGAGCTCTGTGACATGGCACATTAATGCTTTGGAAGCAGCCATCAGGAGATGGTTAGACTGTGGCCATAAGGGGATTTATATGGTCAGCAAAAATAATTAAGAGAGGGTGTGGCATTTAAACTATGGTACCAAGTACCAGTTAGTATCAAGGGGCCTAAAGTGAGCCAACAAAATATCCCCAGCACTTACACAAATAGGGAAGAAGGACGCTTTTATGTTGTTTAGACCAAATTCTGACCCTATTATCTAAATGTCGAAGCAGAAATCAAGCAACACTTTTCCAATCTTCTGTATGAATTACAGTCTGTTTCCTATCTTTCCAGGCTGACAGGAATTGCACCGAGTGTGGGCTTCTGCTGCTGTGGCACATTTGCTTCAAGGTTAAAGGTGTTGTACATTCAGAGATGTTCTTCTGCATACCTTTGCTGTAACAGCAGGTTATCTGAATTACTGCTTTCTTATCAGCTTGAAGCGGTCTGGTCATTCTCTTCTGACCTCTGGCATCAACAAGGCCTAGAGAATTGCCACTAAGTGGATATTTGTTCTTTTTCAGACTATTACCTGTAAAGCCAAGAGATGGTTGTGCCAGAAGTTTCAGAAATCCTCAGACTAGCCCATCTGGCACAAACAATCACCTTTCTGCTTAATTCTGATGCTCCTTTTTAATAACATCAGCCAGTCATTTTGACCATGACTACACGCCTATATTCACTGAATTGCTACCATGTGAGTATACTGTATATCTAACAAAATGGCCAATCAGTGTATTTTGTATTTTTGGATTGTCAGAATGTCGTAGTTAAAGATATCATCCAAACTGACATCTTCACATTGCTTATTTTGTCAAACCAATCATCCAGAACAGATTTATGTCATATATGAACAGTAAAGCTCCAAATCCTGTAAGTTAAGGAACAGAACAAGCAAATAGGATTTGGTGCAGCTCTGTTTTGGAGCAAATTCATTTTTTGCACCAAAATAAATTCATTTCAGTCTAATGTCTCTCCCTGAGTTGGCTTACAGGGGTGAAGTAAAAAATGTTTTGCAAACATTGCAAAGTGATGATGTTTGAGGAAACAGAGCCTCACGGAAAAAAGCACCAAGAATTTTCTGCAGCGTTAAACACAGAAAAGTCACAAAACTTTCAGGACCACATGTTTTGTGTGGCTGCACAAATTAATTTGCTGTCACTTTCTGTTGTGAAGGGTGAACTGAAAAATGAAGTATATGCGCCATTAAAAAAACGCATCTGGTGCAGAGAACAATAGAGCAAAAAAATTATAATTAGAGCTACTTTGTCATAGCATACCTTCATAAATTGGAAAATCAGTAAGGTGAGGTTTTATTGTTGTAACGGGTGGATGGAAGTATGATCAATTTGTGAAGTTTTCTTCAAAGCATCAAACAGAAAAATGTGGCACAAGTTAGAGAGACAGAAAAGAGAAAGCACAGCAGATTAGGCAGATAGAGATCGATCAAGGAACTGAAGAGAAAAAGAAAAGGGGAGGTTTGGTTGGGGGTGCTTTGTCTGCTGAGCAGTTTCAGAGGGGCATGCGACCACTTTCACCGCACTTTCCACACAAAATTTGCACCATATGCTCTAGTGGCTTTGCAATCCAGCTCTGGCAAAGATCGCTGTGTATTATCTTCTGAGAGAAAATGATGGTGATTATCATAAAGTGTTCCCATCCAGGATGAGTGTGCAGAGCCCCGTTTGCTCTCTCTCCTCCAGCCTGCTGAGAGCACTTAGAGGTGGGGGGAGAGTTTGAGTGCCGAGAGGCCCCTGCATGTATGGCCATTAGCCTTCTCGTTGACCTTGCACCTGCTGTAAGCCACATGACATTTAATACACATGTGCCCATAGAATGGCTCGACATTTACAGACAGACCTTTTGTAACTGTCATCCAAATGCTGTGTTCACTCTTTATCCTCCATCAGGACTGGCAGGCTTCCTGAACATCATTTATAAGTTTAACTCTACCTCGGATGTGTCCAGTAGTATCCTAAAATTATATAAAGCCTTTTGAAAAAGAATTATTGCCAGATGTTTTTTGAATTATGAAAACTAGTTCACTTCCTAAAATGATTGACTGGCCCCAAAACCCAGCGACTTGGCTTCCAAGCACGCTTGCCTGCAAGATCCAGCAAACATAGCCACCACTATCATGTCTAAAAGCTTATTTTTCTGTTTTTCATACCAACAAGGAATTGTCAGGAAACATCCAACCAACTCGGATGCTTTGGTCATGCAGACTGTTAAAAATTCTCCGAAGTAGAGCTGTTCAGGTAACACAAATAATTAACCATCACTCGTATGTGCGGTAATACAACAGATGTTTTAAGATGATTTGGAAAAGCTCCTCATCAACAGGTTACCAACTTGATTCCCCCCTGTTTAGTACCTGAACACACTGGGGTCCTGTTGTGCACAGAGGAGCCACTCACTGGCTTGCCATCACTGGTAACACACCAGCAGTAACCGGTCAGAGTATGGCACTGGACCTGCAGAGGCAAGACACATGGAAGAGGTAAAACACATGAGAGTGTAAATAAAGAACAGGGGGTGGACTTTTCTGTCAGTGAAGAAAAAGCTCAATTTTGGGGTGATCTGAAGAGGGGGGGTACACATGAGACTAATGGAAAGAGAAAGATGAAGCGTGAAAGATTTAAAAGGGAAGGAAAAAGCCGCGGATGATTGGATACGGACCTGGGCAAATGTTCCATCTTCATTGCATTCTGGGATGAACATGGACTCTGAAGACTGAGGTCTTCTGGCTTGCTCCAGAGCCTGGTTCCTCTCAACACGACACTTGGACTGTCCTGCATCTGAAACGTATTGAAAGGACCTTCTGTTCTCAAACACTGCATACAAACCTCCAGCACTGTTTTTATGTACTGAAGACACATGTTCTGTGCCAGTAACACTCTGCTCACACAGTTTACTGCTGTGCCTTGCTCAAGGGCATGTTTTGACAGGATGGGAAAACAAACATAATTTTATTACTTTCTTCTCAGTTTTGATTTTTAATCTGACCCTTAAAACACTTAATCAAACTTTCAGCGTGTGGTTTTTCACAAATCTGAAAAAAAAAGCTCCAACCATAATAAACCTGCAGGTAGCTCAACTCTAGAGGAGGCTTTTAACAGTCTTCAAAAATACTAAAACAACACATTCCTCAACACTGACCACTGCTAGTGCCAGATGTAGGCTATGGATACTTCATTGTTAGTGCTGAGGAGTGCGTCATGTACTCTACATGGATATTTGGAAATGTCAGTGGAAACTGTTCGTGCAGCACCGATGAGCTTGTCCTGCTCTCGGGGCACAGAGATGGAGGTGGCTTTAAAGGTCAGAGAATGAAGTGGGCTTCACACCAGCTGTTCACTGGTTCAAACTCCCGTCAGCGACTACTGTTTTTATTGCACTCAAAAATCCTGTGGACCTGAGTTCATGTTCAACCGTTCATGTATACACAGTCACACCAGGGAGCTGACCAGTCGACCACAGTCCTCCACTTTTAACAAATATTTTCCCTGGATAAATAAAAGTTTGAAAAAGTCATCTCTGGACCTGAGTAGAGACAGACATGATGTCTCCTTTAAGTATAAAAGACTGACAGGGCCAAAATAGGGTGGTGATGTCACTGAGGAGGACAGCCATGCATGAATTTATAAATGAGACTTGTATTGTAGAGAAAATGCAGATAGAATATTGTAGTGAGAGACATAAAAGCAACCCCAAAATCCAACCTGAATACGTCTGATTTATGTAAATGTAAAAAGAAAGTCGAGCCCAGCAGTCGTTTGCAGGTTGTCGTCTCGTGCTTGTTAGCTGTAACAAAGCCGAAACACAGTGTGTGGACACAGACAAATCTCCCTTTGAGAGACTTTGAATGATGACCTCATGCATAATGTGTTGATTTTAAAGCTAAATAATGAATAAGCAGGTCTGCCGGTTGAATCAGCCACAGCTTTGTGCTTGTTGTTGTTTGCGGTTGTTTGTTGTACTTGTTAGCAATTTATAAGCCTCGTATTCAAATTAATCTGTTGTGTTTAATCTGAATCTCACGCACATTTCAACCAGACTTTGCCTGGCTTTGTCGTTGTAAACAAGGATTGGTTCACAAACTGCCTGCCTAAATAAAGCAGCATTTTCATTACAACAGAACAGGCCTGCTGCATCTGCAAAGACTGCGTGAGCTTTGCCCAGCTTTCCTTCCCTTGGCACAACACTGGTATTATGAAACAAAGCCACATATTACCACACAAAGGGAGTCAGATTCACTCCAAAAATGGATTTAGTCGTACTGCTGTTTTTCTAATGGATAGAAGGGGGTCTGGAAAAAAGGGGGCTACGATGCCCGGTTCCAATCTTGACTTTAGACTTATCAATCTCTGCCGTTGCTGGGTGGCTGGCATCCAGAGACTGAGGAAGTGTGTGAGCCTGGTCTGTAAAAACTTACATAGCTACACAGAGGCAGAAAATTAAAGACATCTTCTCATTTAGTTCCACTTTTCCCAGACTTTGAGTTGTGGCCACAGGCTGCAGTTACTTAAATATGCTATTTAAGATTCTAATAAATAAATTTTATTGCTTTTTTCATTTTTATTTTATTGCTTTTTCAGTGGCCATATTAGGTTATGATGAATTCTAAAACTGCATTTTAGGTTGTGTGCGGTGTTTAAGGTGTCACAGTTCTTACCTTTGAGCTCCACGTCTCTCCCTTCAGATATAGCAGTTGGTGCTAGAGCCACTGGCAACACCCAGTTTTTACCTGAATGACAAAAAGGTCACAGAGTCTGTGTGGTTTTGGCTGTTGATGCTCTTTTTTGTACTCTTTCAGGTACTATTTAGAGTCGAGTACAATACAAAATCTCTGCACACCTTAATGAGCAACAGGTGTGACAAGGAAAACTTAAATAAACTTAAACTAAATTAAAATCTATTAGAATATTTCAAAGTATCAAAAGTCTAAAAGTACAAATCCAGCTGTATTGTTTTGACATTTCAGACCAATGCAAACTATCTACCATGGCAATGCTATAGTACACCATGTGTTTTTAGGGTGATTTTCTTTTTGATCCATTTCCTCTCCAGCCCTAGATACAGATTCAGAAAATGAGCAAAGCATCAGTATAGGTAGGCCAAGTTAACCTCAACTGCAATCCCACAGGTCAGCTAATCTTAGTACAGAGTCAGTTCTTTTATCCAACCTAAAGTTGCTATGCACCTGCAAGCTGCTTTGCAACCAACCTTCATCCCAACACCTCTCATTAGTGCTGTGTCTGACTTATTATTGTACCTGTTGTGTGCCCGTTGATGTATGTAAATGCATGTATGACTTTTACTGATAGCTGTGGACTGTAATGTGTGAGAAATGGATTGTGAAAACACAGACATCAGGAAAACATTCATGTAAACATCATCACTGTTTACATTTATAAAAAAAACTGATGAATCCTACATCTCAATTTTCTTGAATGCACCCTGAAAATAGCTCCGTGTATCTGCACAGAGTTGACCAAAGTTTAGCTCTCACCTCGACACCGGCCTCTGTGTGCTAATGTGAGTGTCTTATCTTTGCAGCGCGCCTTCTGCAATTCACAGTTGCTGTCATAGCTCCGCCCGTCTGAACCACACACCGGCTTCCCCGTCCGTGAGCAGGTGATCCCACAGTCCCTGTCTCTGTCTCCAATCAGCCACTGCAACAACAAATACAGCAACATGTTAACATAACACTGGTGCAATACACATTTAACTCACTTCAGATTTTATATAATGGGACAGACACATTTTGAGATTAGGGACTTTGGAACTTTTTTGTCATCCCTTGAAAAATTGGTTTGTTCTTACTTTTTGGCGTCTTCTCTTTCTAGCTCCCCTATGTCTGAACAAAGGCAGCATTCAGCTGAATCTGAGGTTATGCCAAACTAACGTACAAATTGGACTCACGGGTCACTTGCCTATTTTGCTCAAAACATTTCTGTTTTCTCAAACACTTGTCAGCTGCTGCCTTGCTTCTTTTTTTTTTTTTAAGCCGACGTGACAAGATTGTTTTGCACTGAAGCTTGACCTAGAGGCTAATTTATGTAATTGATCTTTGGCTGAAGACAGGTTCAACCTTGATTAAGTTTCAAAGTAGCCAAACCATACTCTCCAATAGGAATCTTTCTTCCCCTCTCCCAAGATCACTCATGATCTATTAGTGAGTCAATTATACTGTACTGTTGGAACACGGCCTTCTTTCTGACAGCAGTAATGGTCCTTGGCATTACAGCTGCCTCAGATATATTTAAGCTCTAAAGGATTTCAGGGAGTACAAACTTTGCCAGAAAGATGGAGTTTTGTGTTAGTGAGTGGAGAGAGTAGGTGTGTACTGAGCAGCAACAGAGTCCTCTGCTATGAGAAGTGTCCCAGTTGTGTACCTGAGCCAACTCTTGTTGAAATTATTTTCAGTATTCCAACATGAAAACACAAGAAGCAACTGTGTCATCTCGCTAGTGATGATTATGCTTTTTTTTATTCTAAACATGTGTTTTATAAAAGGTAAAAAACAAACAAAAAGAAAATAAAAATATCCTGCAGATTAAAACTTTTATCAAATGTGTTTCATACCCAAGGTCTCAAAAGTGACTAGAAGAGATCTAGTTGAATCCAACAGAGCATCAAGAGCAGGTACTTTACCAAAAAAAGGACACAGTTTTCCAACCTTCACTTGCCAACTCATATCAGACAATCTGAGGCCATTTGCGAAGTGATCTACATTGAGCTTTCATGCTTCTCTCATTGTAACCTCCCCCCCACCCCCTCCTGGCCCCAGCCTCCAACTTCAAAACGTTTTGTTTTTTTTATTATTTTGAAAAACATTAAAAAATGTTGCTTGGAGACAGATTTTCTCTGAACGTCTAATCAGAAAGACATGAGCAAAGGGTACATTGTAACTAGGCCAAATTTCTGATGTCATGAATGAGCTGGTAGACAACTGGATCTCATATACACACCAGACGTTTTCATCAAACATACTCTAAACTCCTCTGTGGCTTTGAATTAGTGTTACTCTTGTTATCAAGGAGTGAGAACCCAACACAATCATCATCTCTGAAGTCTGTAACTTTCTGTTTATTCTGCCTTTAAAAAAACAAGAAACTGCCAGTACAATCAGACTTGAAATATTTTCTATTGACAACAGCTTCCTAGGAATTTTGACTTATGTATACCTTAACCTTAATCTATTCTAGATGACCTGTATTTATATAGCGCTTTACTAGTCCCAAAGGACCCCAAAGCGTTTTACACAACCAGTCATCCACCCATTCACACACACATTCACACACTGGTGATGGCAAGCTACATTGTAGCCACAGCCA